CGCTGCTGCTGCTGCTGCTTTGTTTCGGGCAGCTGAATTCCGAGGAGCTGCTGCTGCTGCTGCTCGACTCTCGCGCGCTGTCCGTCTCTTCCAGGAGAGGCGCGGAGAGCAAAGAGCTCCTTTTTCTGCTCGCGGGGGTGGGCGCCCCTCCCTTGCCGTGCCTGGCCTGCGCCCTCTTCGCCAAATAGTCTTTCTCCATCTGTTCCATTTGACGTTTGAAGGCGAAAGAACTGTCCATGAGCAAGTTCTTGCGCGTCTCCCACGTGTCATCTTTGGGCCCATAGCCCTGCCACCGCACCCGCCATTCAGGGGTCTTCCCATTGTATCGAAAGCCCACAAGCTTCTCCACAGTGTAGATGTCGGACATCTCCGGCTGATCTTCTGGGCCCTCCAGGGGGCCCTGCCGACCCTCCGGAGCATTCAATCGGCCACTAGGGGCCGCAGAACCCCGGGAAACCCGGGAAGATGCAAGATCGCCGGGAGGTGAGCTTGACTTCGAGGCCAAGATGGCAATGACGGGGGTGGCAACGCGCCAGTCAACGGGAAAAAGTGGCCAGGAAGCCTCCACGGATGCTGTTAATAGCGCGAGATCCCACTGCTTGTCAAAAAACACGATAGTGGCGTGAGTTACCGTCGTCCAGCTAGCCAGAAGTAACAGCTGCTGTTACGCTGAGGCGACTAACGGAAGCTCGAGGTAGAGGGAGACTAAGTCCTCTGGAAGCCGCATGAATACGGCGAAAAGTAAGAGCGTGTGGAAACTTGAAAAGAAAGCAATAAAAGCCGCATCTACAAACAAGACGAAGGCACACCGAGTGACGCAGTGGGGCGCCCGAGACAGCTGCGGCGCATGCTGTGACGCCACGGCAATGAAGGATGTGCACTAATTATTCATGGCAGTTCTTTGCTATGAAATTTTTATATTTATGACGTATTAAACCTCCAGCACAGACTAGCAGTTGCTCTCACAGTAGTGCTGCAACTCGCCGACTTGCTGTGCAGCAGTTGTCCATGCACTCGGGCCCGCGTCCCTGGCTCTTGACTGAGAATACTTGTCTCCTTGTACATTATGGCAAGTG